ACTCTTATACAACTAGTTACAGCTACATTTAATATTATGATAGACGCTTAAGTAGCCGCTGGCCCGAACAGTGCCGTTGCTTCGTATTCGTTGCGATTGGTTTGGGTGTCAAGTGCAGTGTTGCGTTACTGGGTGCCGTGTGCGTTGTGGTAGGTCTTGGACGTATGTTCGTTGCGATTTGTTGGAGTTTCTGGTATCGGGGTTCGGGATAGGTGTAAGCACGGCTTCAGTGGGCATGGGATCGTCGTTTCGGTGGCACCTAGGAAGTCCATGCCGACAATGACTTGTCCCAACATGTTTGGCTGGACCAGGAGCGGGATTTGAACCTCTCGTTGATCCAGCTTGATGTGCGCCAGTAGAACTTGTGAGATCTCTCTGACCGAGCCATCGGCCAGGCTTATGCGGACGCATGCATCTTGCAGGTTGGTGTTGTTGTCTAGTTGTCGGGCGAGGTTTGCGCTGATAAAGCTTCTGGATGCCCCGGTGTCGATTGTGGCTTCCGTTGCGTGTCAACGCACACATTTTGCCACATTACCAGCAGAATAGGACGCAGGGATTATGGCAGTCGTATGCCGCATGCCCCGCTTCACCACACCGGCGACAGGCTGCGCGTGGGTTGGTGATGGGGGTCGTGATCATGTGATGGGCTACGTCGGGATTCGCCGTACTGTTTGGATGAGCTGGTGGTCTCCCTGGTGTGTCTGTCGATTACCAATGGGGACTCAGAAATGGCGTCTGGTGCGAGTCGCAATTCCTCTGCTCTGAAGCCGGCCTTGCGTATCTTAGCGTGTTCCGCGGGGGTGCGAAAGTAGTCGAGATGGTCCGCTCTTGGATGCTCTCGAACTCGGTGGCCAACATTGTGAGCTGTGCTAAGCTTTATAGTTCGTGTCGCCGCACGTACATCTGGTATGCTGGCAGGGCGTTACCGTAGATCCTGTTCAGTTCCTTGGCTGCGTCGTACCTGGCGTGGTGCATGAGTAGACGTATCTCCATTAAGTAATCGTTGAACAATTCTCCTACCGCTTGCTTGCGGGCCCGGATTCGGTCATCCAATTGTTAAAAATACCGTGGCGGCAAGAAGAAAGTCAAGAATTCTTGGCGGAAATATTCCCATGAGCTGCCTTGTAGTTGGCTGGTGCGGTACCTGCGACTGGCCCGATCGGTGAGAAGCTCTGTCATGGCCCGAGGTAGCTGATTCGTGTCCACCCCATATGAGAGCGCACGTTCTTCGAGTAGTTCCAGAAATGTAAGTGGGTCGTGCTGTCCGTCGAACCTGATTCCCCATTTCCGAATCTGTTCCGCGATGTGGGCGGTGGAGGAGGCTGTGGTGTCGTCCATCTATGGAAGGGTCCATGGCTGGCACGATCCTCTGTGTGGGCGAGCGGCTGGTCTCCGTAACTGGAGGTCTGGGCAAATCGGCTGGCGTTACGATGCGTGGTGGGCCAGGTGTGCTGTATTCGGCCGCGGTGGGGACTTGTAACCCGGCTTTTGGGTCGGTTTTCCGCTGGTCAGATGTCCCAGGAGTGGTGGGGATGGGTGACCTGGAGCGTCCTGCTGGTTTGGCGTATTGCCGTTCAAGATCTCCTAGTCGAACCCAGGCGTCCTGCGAGAATGTCCCGCCGACTAATAAGGCGAATCTTTTTCGTCGTTCCTCGACTGTTCCTTCGTTGCCAAATCCGAATTCCTCGGAAAGGGCTTCCGGAGTTTGTAAATCCAGCCGGTGGTGACCCCTGGATTGGTATGGTGTCCCTCAGGGTAAAATTCGTCGGGTTGACCGTCCCCGTGGGCTGCCATGGTGTGCGTTTGAGCGTAGAGGCGATGCGAAGTCCCACAGATGGATTCCCAAAGATAAAGCCAAAGGTCCAAGTTCTTCAATTTATATATATTCGTTGGTTTTATCACTTATATGTAACAGTAGGTAGTCGCGTGCAAAAGCCAGCCGTTTTTCTTGGGGTGAAAAAACGCAGTATTCTAGATCGGTGGCGCTCAAGCTGCCGAGGGCTGTCGGCAGCGAGAGCGGGAGCTTGAGCGTGGGCGGGAGCGGGAGCGCAAGCGTGGGCGGGAGCGGGAGCGCAAGCGTGGTGAGTATGCGCGCGAGAGCGCGTCGCCGGGGTAAAAAATGCTCTTAAGTACGAGGGCGAGAGCAAGGGCGACCGCTTGTGTAGCTGTAACGCTAACAGCGATGTGTGGCTGGAATGCCCACAGAGCGGTTGCCCCGCCAGCGCCGTCTTCACTCTGAACATTCTCCCCCCTTTGCAGGATTGCGAAGATTCTCTTAAGTCTGCGTGCACGCACCAGATACGATCCATCCAAACACCGTGCTTTGAGCCACGGGAAGGCCGTCTGCGCGGGCGAGGAACCCAGGTTGAATGACCCTTGAATACAAATCTGCACCCAGGACGAGCGAGATGGTCGTCGGCTTGTGGAACTGCTCGTTGGCCAACTTCAAGTCGTCGAAGCGAGCACGGACTGTGTCGCTCAGTGGACGGATCGGCGTACGGACGCGCAGACGGGTCTCGATTTTGAAGATGGCCTCCACTTGGAAGGTCTGAGTAGGTCTACCACACGGACCTTATCATCGGCTCCAGGATACGCGTTCTGTACACGGCCGAGACGCCATTCCTGAGCGGGGATGTTCTCCTCCTTGATCACCACGAGGTCTCCTATCTCGAGGTCTCTTGTCGGATGCTGCCATTTGTTACGCTTGTGCAACTCTCGCAGGTACTCCGTCTTCCAGCGCGAACAGAATTGCTGGTTGAGAGCCTTGAGATGTTGCCAGCGGTTTAGGATGGAGGAGGCGCTCGCTTCTATTTCTGGCTCTGCCACGGATAATAGCGGACCACCAATCAGGAAATGGCCTGGGCTCAAATCCAACAGATCCTTTGGATCCTCAGACATAGGAGAGATTGGTCGCGAGTTAAGACATACCTCAATTTTCGAAAGTACGGTCGCGAACTCCTCTAATGTGTATTTGGACGTACACATCGACCGTTGGAACAGAGCCTTGAAGCTCTTCACAGCTGCTTCCCACAAGCCCCCCATATGTGGGGCTCCAGGAGGGATAAACCGCCACGATAGCCCCTGCTGGCTGTACACCGCAGAAGTCCGAGTGCGGACACGAGGACACCCTCGTCTTGCGACGAAATGAGCGAGGGCAGTTAGGAAGGTGTCGGTGGATAAATCGGTCGTGGCCTCTAAGTGGATGGCCGTCGTGGAAAAGTAGACGAACACGCACACATACCCCTTTGAGATGCGACATGCGCGACCTGTGAAACTTTTAACGTCGAAGGGGCCGGCGAAGTCGACTCCGGTGTATGTGAACGGCCTGGAGAATGTGACTCGTGAGGCAGGAAGGTCGCCCATTAGTTGGGTTTGGAGTCGCTTACGATGGAGAACGCAAACCTTAAAAGAATGGATCACTCCCCTTACTACGTGACGTAGTCGAAGGATCCAGTATGTTGCCCGGATAAGGCGGATGACCAGCTGGTTCCCACCATGTAGCGTTATATGATGGGTGAATCGAACCAGCAGGCGAACCAGGAGACATGCGGGTGGCAACAGGATTGGATGCCGTTCGTTGTAGGACATAGACGCCGAGGCTTGGACTCGGCCACATGCCCGCATGACTCCGTTCTGCTCAAGGAACGGATTAAGATTCTGAAGAGAACTCGTATTAGGGAGAGGCTGCTTGTTTAGCAGGCACCGATGCTCCCCAGCATAATGGAAGCGTTGGGTTGTCAGTGTGACCGCTTGGAGAGCGGCAGCGACCTCCTTTCCGTTCAGCTCCTCGGAGACATGGGTCGTCTGCCCTTTAACTCGCTGGGTGAACCTCCGAACGTAGGCGATCACGCGAAGAGCGCGCCTGAGTTCGGAGAAACGGCTGAGGATATCGAAGGTGCTGCTGGTGGCATGGTGCACCTTGACGACTCGCGGGACTGAGTCCCGCGGACATGGCCACTCCGATTTTGGACCACGCAACCAACCAGGGCCATGCCACCACATATCACTTCCGACCAGGTCAGTGGGGCCCTCGACTGGCCAGGTCGGCCGGATTGTCCTCGGATCGGACGTGGCTCCATCGCTAACAGGGCCAACATCGAGTGATTTTGGCTACTCGATTGCCCACGAAAGTGGTCCAATCCCATGCAGATCTGTTCAGCCAGGCCAACACAATCGTGTAATCCGTCCAGAAGGATACTTGGCTGGTGTCGAGTGGCAGTTGAGGAAGGATGGCCTCGGAAAGCTCTGTCAGAAGGACGGCTCCGCACAGTTCGAGTCGAGGCAAGGAAACCGTTTTCACGGGGGCCACGCGGGTTTTAGCTGTGAGAAGGGCACAGACAATGCGCTGCGGTCGCTCAACTCGGATGTAAATCGCTGCCCCATAGGCACGTTGAAACGCGTCGCAGAAGCCATGTATCTGCACCTTGGCCATTGGACAAACGTGCAACCACCGCGGAATGCGGATATCCTGGATGGCCGGAAAACTCTTCAGGAACGTCTCCCAGGTTTGAGATAGATCGCTAGGGAGGACGTCATCCCACCCTAACTCTCTTAGCCAAATTTCCTGCATGAACATTTTGGCTTGGATGACAAAGGGGGCAAGCCATCCCGGTGGATCGAACAGCTGCGCAATCTGCGATAGCACATTGCGCTTCGTACAGGACTCCCGCTGAAGTACTTCGGGAGGAGCAAAGAAGAATTCATCGGCCCTGGCTTGCCATCGGATCCCCAATGTCTTAGCGATGCTACTTTCTTCAAGCTCTAGGAAGTCAGCTCGAAGTAAGTGGTCGACCTAAATGTCGCGCAGTACGCCCTTGTGGTTCGCTGTCCACTTTCGGAGTGGAAACCCTGCGGAGTCGAGTGCTTTGCGTAATTCTGAAATGGCGGAAATTGCCTGCGACTGAGTGTGAGCACCAGCCAGCACGTCGTCCACGTACATGTAGCTCTCCAGGATGTCGCTTGCCATTGGCAACTCTTGGCGCACCTCTTGTGCGAGTTGCTTAATGACGCGAAGGGCGAGGTACGGTGCGCAATTGTCCATTACGGTCGCGAAAGAGTATTCGCTGATAGGGCGTGTGTTGGGAAGACACTTGGATCTGGCGGTACATCTTGCTGATGTCGGCATTGAAGACACAGCTGAAGACTCGCCACCTCAGGATTTGCATGGTCAAGTCAGACTGAAGGACTGGCCCCGAATGCAATGTGTCGTTGAGGCTTTTCCCGTTGGAAGACGGGCTGGAGGCGTTGAAGACCACGCGCAGTTTGGTTGTGGTGCTGTCGGGTTTAAACACGCCGTGATGTGGAAGGTAGTAATGGCCGGAGTCATGACTGGGTGTAACCGCTGTCATGTGGCCTAGCTCTAAATATTCCTCGATAACGGCGTCGTACTGCTCTTTGAGCGGCAAATTCCGCTGCAGACGCTGCTCGTTTCTAAGGAACTGGGCCTGTGCCGCGCATCTGGAATGTCCTAGATCGACATTTTCTGGACATTTGAAAGGGAGAGTAACAATGTATCTCCCATCGGGGGCTCGTTTAGTGGTGTGGCGGAAGTTTTCCTCGCACATAGAATCTGACTCACTCGTCGGTCTCCCCGGACCGCTTCTCGACCGCTTCTCGTGCATCAGCGGACATGTTGAGAAAGCGGGGACAAACTCGAATCGGGTGATTCTCTTTGGAACAGAGGTCACGCGTTCGCTTCTTCGGACTCACTTGGGTATTGAAAGAGTGCACCTTGTTTGGCGTCGGACTGCCTTGCGAACGAAATGGATTGGAGTGGTTTCGAGAGGTGGGTGGATTTTGGACGCCTTTGGAGGCTGGCGGATTCGTAGCCCCTCGTGAGGTGGAAGGGTCGCTCTCAATAGGCGCGAGCGTCAGATAGCGCTGAGTGAGAAGGGAGTCGATTTCCTTCCAGGGCGGCACCTCTTTTTTGTCCGTTACGGACGCTTCCCACAACGCCCGGCTCAACTTCGGCAATTTGGAAAAGCAGATGGTGACAAGCAGACTATCCCAGTTGTCCGTGCAGACGTTGGAGACCGCTAGCGCATTTAGGACTCCTTGCATCGTACTTTGAAGATCCTTCAAGGCACGACTGCATTCGGATGTTACGCGGGGCAAAAAGAGGAGGATGTTAATTTGGTTGGTCACCAGAAGCCGATTATTTTCATATCGGCTGCGGAGAGCCAACCATGCGGACTCGAAACCGTCATTAGTGAGGGGGGATTTTTCTACGATGGCCTTCGGATCGCCCCGGGTCTTCCCGAAAAAAAACCGTCAGGCAACCAAAATCGTTTCGAAAAGATAACCCAGTTACGGACGGCTGGCAGAGAAAAAGGCCTCAAGCTAGCAGGAATGCAATAAACAGATCGACTCGGATTGTTTGAGATCACCTGTAGGTGGGAGGTCCCAAACAATGAGAGACCTTATATTGAGGAGAGGAACGGTCACACTAGTGGTGGCAATATTTTGGAAATATTGTTAGTGCGATGATCCTCCGCTAACCCTTTTGACGCAATCGTGAGCAGAACCGGGTTATTGGCGGATGGAAGGCGGATGGACGGCGGACGGAAGTGACACGGACACCACACAAAAAATAAATGATGATTTTCTTATCAAAAATTAATTTTCTGATTGTGGAAAAACAAATCACTCCATCAATCAACCAATTCAATCAAAAAAAAATCAATCAATCAATGTGATTTATTAATTGTTCCACTCGTGTCTTGATGCCGATAGTTGGGCCTTGGATTCGGCCACCTCTAATGCACGGAACAAAAACAACAAAAAATTGGCAGTGGAAATTGCCAAATAATTACTATTAGTGCGCCGTGTCTTGGTCGCGAGTAAATTATTTGGAAAGTGGAGAACGTTGGAGTTGGGGTAGCGATCGAGAAAAGTGGCTGGAGTGCACGAATTGTACGAAATCTCGAATTTAATATTAAATTTGGCACTCGCGCGTAATATGTATGTAGTGTGTGCAGTATTTAAATACGGAATGTGGTATATTTATGCGGGGTGTAATAATTGGATGTACATTTATAGTCGGCAATATGGAATATTGCGGCTAACTATGGAAATAAATATATGAATGTATGAATAAATGTAGGTATGTGTACAGGTACAGGAATAAAACACTTAATTTTAATTGTAGTTGCACTCGGAGTGTGCCAGTGTATATTTTTATTGGGGTGGGTCGTGCATGGAATGCACTTGTAGAGACACGGATGTAGATGTGTGTGTATGTACGCAAGCAGCTCTCATGGGCTGGAATGTGCGTACATACATATGCTCGGAATGCACTTGTTTTGAATTAATTTTTATTTATTTAATATGTCCGCAAATCATGGACACAAGTAATCGAAAAAACTACCGTATCACTGGTAGTTGGAGGTGAATGAACGGCCGGAATCGCCGATAATATGGCGGTGTCGAAAAAGGAAGAGACACGGATGGCACAGAATGGGCAGGGGTCCCATTTTTTCAATGTATATAGATATATTCGGAGGTTTATTCACTAGTATATAACATATACATGTATCGCGTGCAAAAGCCAGCCGCTTTGCTTGGGGTGAAAAAACGCATTATTCTAGATCGGTGGCGCTCAAGCTGCCGAGGGCTGTCGGCAGCGAGAGCGGGAGCGTGGGCGGGAGCGCAAGCGTGGTGAGTATGCGTGCAAGAGCGCGTCGCCGGGGGGAAAAATGCTCTTAAGTACGAGGGCGAGAGCAAGGGCGACCGCTTGTATAGCTGGAACGCTAACAGCACTGAAATTTGACCCCAGGTGGCAAATGTTAATTATTTCAATGCCGAGAACCACAGCCCTTGTACCTGAGGCAAAATAATTCTGAACGTTCGGTGGAGCGATGGAGGAAGCGGGATCCTCCGCTGTGATGAAAGTCGATTCGCTGGGAGCTGGAGTACCACGATGCAGAAGCGTGTGGTGGCGGGATTTCCTTTGGCGTAACAGTTCAAGCGCAGCTGCCTCTTTTTAATGCAGCTGGCACATGCGTACACGGTCGTTTGTAAGAAGTGCGAACATAGTCGAATTCTCTTCGAACTCAATTGTGTCTGGAAGGAGTGAAACTTCCTTGGCACGGGTCTGCCATGAGACCGGAACGGATTGGAATTGCATCCGGAGAGCTGCGGATTCTGGGTATCTTTGATCGGTGGTAGATTCAGATTGCCTTTGGACGTGGACGTAAATTAGTCCCGAAAAGTAGGCCAGCGGACGTAATCTCCTCCGAAGACCTCAAATTTACAGGGGGGCAGTCGACAGCCGCCCTGGTAGGTTTGCGGTGCAGACGGATGAACTGATGTTTGGGCTAGTTGAGCATTGAGGTCAGCTAGGCACTGCTCAAATACCCCATAACACTCGCCGTACTTCTCTCGGACTTCTTCTTGTACCCCTGGATCTTCGTCAACCATCACTGCGGAGCACGCTTTATACTCCGCCTCGACATCCGCCCACATACTAAGTATTTGTCCTCGGCGAACCTCGGAAAGAGTTGCGGATGGATCGGCAGGGATGCGCGCTTCCAAGTGGGACAAACGGCCAATGGCGGCGGCTAATTTTGCCCGTGCAGTTGTGGTGGTGGATGGATCCATTGTGGTCCATTGGGGTCGAGAGCTGACGGGACTGAAAACGAAAGAGCTGGTTGGATCGTCTTGGATCCGAGCTGGCACCTTGAGAGTGACGGGAGACGGGAAGAGAAACGACTTGGTCCTCACAGCAGGGCTGCCACTAGCTGCTCTGGGAGTGACTGGCGACTTGATCTTCTGAGTTGGAGTAGTTCCTGAGGCGGAAGAGGTGCGTAGCCGACGTGGAGTGGTCACAGCCAAAAACCCTTTGCTGTCCTTGTCACCCGTTGGTATACTACGCACTCACACACGCAGGATGTGAAGGCGAAGTCGGATGCGGAATCCGCGGATTGGCGAACGAAAAAAAACTTAGGCTCGGCTGGGCACCACACACAAAGGCAATAAATCCCTTAAAATACACAAAAAGAAACCACTACTGGTGGAATGTAAGAGAAAAGGCATCGGGCGTTGCTGGAAACCAATTTTTGTTACCGACTCGGATTATTTGAGGTCGCTCTTGATCGAGGTTCTCAAAACAATGAGTGAATTAAATTGATGCACACTGAGGAGAGGAACGGTCACACTGGCTGTGGTAATATTTAAAAAATATTGTTAGTACGGCGCTCCTCCGTTTACCTTTTGACGGACTTATGCAGTGGGCAAATTATCTTGTTTGTTCGGTGCGGATGGATTGCAGACGGAATTTTTCTCTATTTCTTGCTTCCTTGTTATGCCTTGGCGATAGCACTACTCGACAAAATCCAATTTTTTTTTCCTCAAGGATCCAAACCAACTTTTTCTGATAGATATGGGACTTTACAGTTTATTAAAGAATTATGGTTTTTATACCCGTACTCAAAAAAGAGTTAAGGGGTATATTAGATTTGTGGTAAAAGTGGATGTGTGTAACGCAGAGAAGGAAACCTTTCCGACCCCATAAAGTATATTTATGCTTGATCAGCATCAATAGCCGAGTCGATATAGCCATGTCTGTCTGTCCGTCTGTCTGTCTGTCTGTCTGTCCGTCTTGTTGAGCGCCTAGATCTCAGAGACTATAAGAGCTAGGGCAACCAAATTTGGTTTCCAGACTCATGTGATATCACACTGCTACAAGTGTATTTCAAAATTTCGCCCCGCCCCCTTCCGCCCACACAAAGGACGAAAATCTGTGGCAGGCACATTTTTAAAGATAAATGACCATATCTACCAGACTGCCGAATCTGAATCAGATCGGATCATAATTATAGCCAGAATGAAGAAATTAATTTTCTGTTTCTTCCCCTGCCCCCTCCTGACCACAACAACGCAACTCATTTTCCTTCTCGCTCGCACACTCTGCCGCGTTAATTGCGCGAGCAACCACTAGCGGAGGAGATGTAGAATATGAATGGAACATGTACAATCTACATGTTAGATGTAGAATAGACATTGTATATGTAGATATAGATAGCAGATGTAGCAAAAAAATGTAAAATGTAAATTTTTTTTTTTCTAAAATTCTAAAAAGTCATAATCTCAAAAATGTATATACTGACTGAGTACGGGTATAAGTAGAGTCGTGTCCCCAGAAACGACTCACACGTTCTTTCTCGTTTTTTCTATGGTAGAACTTTTTTTTGAAGAATTTTTTAGTTCTGGTATTTTTTTTATAGCTTTTTTCAGAGGTAGCTCTTTTTTTCCTTACGTCTGGTTGTAAAGAACTTTGCTATTTTGAAAAGATAATTAAAACAGCTACAAGGTAAGCCCAAACACTTTGTGATTTTAGCTTACCGTCTGGGAAATATAAAGCATTGAAATGAACTTTTGGCAGGCAGGTCACTGTGCCAGACAGCAAAACGTTTAAGTACGGTGGTGATTGATCTTGAAGTGTTTTCTGCTTTTTCTGATAGGCCTCCCCCAGAGAGGCTGACGAACGCCGAGAAAGAGCAAAGCACCAGCAAGAGCATAATTACAAGCAAACAAACGGTTATAAAGGAGAGACATTACATTAAGAGATGCTCAACTACGGGTAACTGTCATAGCATTGGCAAAAACTATCGGAACGAATATGAAATAAAACAATGATTCCTTAAGCCTAGTACTCAGATCCAAAAACTGTTTGCCAGCAAACAAATTTCATATATTCTTCGAGCGGCCAGTGTGTGACCAGAGGTGTGCACTGCATTCCGAACGGTTATGCACTTCTTCGGCTGGGGCTTCCCGAGGCATATCCTGGGCTTCCCAACATTTCATTGGCAAGGTAATGTGTCGGACTATCAGCAGCAGCTGACACGGACACACAATTGGAAAATATTCACAGAAAAAATGCGAAATAGCTGCGGAAATGCGCTGTGCCTGGGTTGCGGATAATTGCTCACGTATTTGGAGATAATATTCTTTAGTGTGGCCACCAAAACGTATTTCTGGAACGCGTAAATTGCTCGGAATCGCAGAATTTTTATATTGAATATACATATGTCAGTTATGAGCAGAATGTATTGTAACGAACTGATTCTGTCCGTCTGAATCAGCAAAGCTGGCTCAGCGGCCGACAGTTCGCTTGCAACAAATTTGAATGTTGCCTCACAGACAATAAAGAATGCAAAGGTGGGTTTATTTACTGGCTATGGGTACTTTATTGGTATCTTATACTTAACGGCTCTTACGCTCTATATACAATAGTGATTTGTCTCTAGTGCTAGACGCTCTCGCGCCGCCGGCCCCTCAGGTCCTCGCTGGTGCTATGGCTATGTGTCTGACCCGGCTCGCTCCTGATCCACGCACACAACTCCGCACACACCGATTCTCTCTCGACTGCCGTGGCAATACAGCGTTACTCGTAGACCTTCCCTTGGCACCTCGCAGCCTTTGCTCCCTTCGCTGGGTCGTACTGCTGCCTGTTGATCGGGACACTTTGATCCTTCCTGGGATTCTCTCGTTGACTCTCACTTTTCTCTGTTGGTTCTACCGCACTCGCTTTTATTGGCGTCTTTCCTGCTGACTTACACTTCATTGACTGTCCCTCTCGGTTGACGCCGGCCTCCTCTTATACCCTCGCTTCGACGCTGGCTTCTGTGCCCCTGCCTAGCAACAGCGGTAAATCCGTGCGTCGCCGGTAGCTTTCCATCGGCCTCTTCGCTCGTTGCCACCATGTTCTTAACGGGACCGGGCCGATGGCGTGATCTCATGGCCATACATGGTCATGCACTGGACCACTGCCTTTCTATCGGGACCCGGCTCTCGGCCCCCTCTTAATGAATTTGCCGTGGACTCTCTGCTTAACCCTTACTCGGTCCTCTATGAGAAATCTCCATTCCTCACAGTATGTGTGGCAGGCGGTATGTAGATATCGAGAGTGGTATGTAGATATAGAGTGGTATGTAGATATGGATGTTATTTTAATACAATAATTATATTATTTTAATGTGCAATATAATTTTAAGAAGATGTTAAATGTTAGGACCGTTTGGGATTATATGTTAGTTATTTACTAACCAGATGCGGAAAAAAAAAGGAAAAGACATCAGCCCAATTTGCTGTGTGAAATGTATTTAAGGATATAACTATGTAACACTTAAGAAATGTTGAGAGCGCGTATTTATTATGGGGGAGTATGGCAATATATGTATGGGCGTGTATATATGCACTTATGTAGATCAGCCGTTCTTTTGCACTGGAATTTTTGTTGTCTTTTTTGGGCGGCTGGATTTTGATGAATATTTTTATATTTAAATTCACAAGCGTAAGCACAGACAAAGCGGAATGGATGCACTACCGTAACACTGGTAGTTGGAGGTGAAGGAACGGAGAACGGCCGTAATAGCCGATAATATGGCGTTGGCGAAAAGGAAAGTAAAACAGAAACTGGATAGCACTGTATGACAGATATGTATATGAGTATATATATATATATATATATATATATTTTCACCTTCTCCATAAGGAGGAGTCCAACCTGCACACGCACTGGGAAGCGATTTGGGAAGACGAAATCTTACTTATCTTTGGAACGTATCGATGTAATCCACCGATGCTTGCAGGTTGGACTCCTCCTTATGGAGAAGGTGAAAATCCGGCTCGAAGGACCAATGTTTGTATAAGGGTGGATGTGGGCGGGTCAGCTTCGGTTCCCAAAAACAAGGATTCCCAATAAACGTAGTCGGATGTTGCTTCAATTTTATGGCTGGTATATTTGCTAACAAAGTCTTGGTACGCGGATCGTGTATGTGGGATTTGGTGAGAAGCCACAGAGAGCAGCAGAGTCTGTTAAGTCTGTTAAAAGCAACGTCCCGTCCTATGGCTGCGTACAGGCCCCGGACACAATCCATCCAAAAACGGTGCTCTGGGCCACTGGAAGGCCGTCTCCTCGCGCAAGGAACCCGGGATGGATCACCTTCTGATAGACATCGGCTCCCAATATGGAAGTATTCATTGGTCGTCTCGCTCAAGGGTCGCAGCGGCGTGCAGACACGCAAGCGGGGTTTAATTTTGAGGACCACGTCCAATTGGACCTCGCCGGTTTTGGCGCGGACGATAGCGGTGGCTACCTTCTCAGCTCCGATGCGCGTGCTGGGAAATTTGAGGTCGGCGGCCAAGGAAGCGTCAATACAGCTCATCGGCGTGCATGGGTCGATGAGCGCCGTTGTCTCGAGGTTTTTGTGACACACCTTGCACCGGCCCCTACTTCGGCAGTCCTTGCCGGAGTGCTGGTGAGCCAGGCAGTTCCGACAATATTTGTTGACCAGCACGGCTCGGAGCCTCTTAACCACGGTCATCTTGAGGAAACTGCGGCAGTCCCGTAGCGGATTTCTTCCGGAGTAGACGCGGAAGCGGTAAGCAGTTTTTCCTCGGGAACGTTGGCTCCCTGAGGTGTGGTTGTCACGGGATAGTGGAATCATGTGGATCTGGATGCGAAATAACTGGTATGGAAAAGAAGAATCGGAGACGCATTAGTAACGTGCTATGAACAGGTGACAGGCACACTCTAAGTACTGTTGGACGAACAAAACGAGGGCGTTTTGGATGCGAAACAAAAAAAACAGAACGTGGACGGAATAGTAGACAAGGAAAGGCATTATTAATGGGAACGCCTTCCGTTACTGTTGTACGGAATGACGGAGTTCTACCGGAAGGAGAACGACTTTTGCGACCGGGCGTTTGGGGACTCCGCGGGCTGTAGGAATATCTACCACTCGGCGCCGGGATACACGGAATGTACTCTTCCGAGTCGCCAGTCGTTAGAGGGCAGGTTATCTTCTTTGAGGATAACCATATCGCCGATCTGAAGATTGGTCATCGCTGTCTGCCACTTGTTGCGCTTGTGGAGTTCCTCGAGATACTCAAATTAGGTGTGAAAATAAACGTAAGTTGAAAGTAGTCTTCATATTAAATAATTATATGTACATTTTTCATTTTTTCCATTTTAATATAAATAACGGTAGGGTAAAAATACTTTAGGACTCAATATTGTTCCTGTTGGAAGCGGCAGCTTTGACTCCACATTTACAAATAATATAATCCGTTGGTAAATTTTACAAAAGTTTTTATTTCTCGATGGGCTACAAGGGTTTGAGGCCGTGAACTACGATTCGATGCGTTCGACAAATAATTTGGACTGCTGCGAGAACAAGGCGAAGCAATGCAATATAAGCAGTAATGATACATGTGTTTTTGTACCGGAAAGTACTGAGAGAGCGATTTTCAGTATAAGAGATGATGTGGGACTATGTGATATCAATTTCTTTGGAACTGTTAACGGCTGCTGCTCCGAACATACTCCCCCCTGAGCACAGGCGACTCGTGTAACAGTCAACGGAGCCAGTGTTGACGAATAGGAAGATCCGAGCGAGCGGGCACGCTATATTTCTCCGGCTCTGGCTCGTCGGCTTAGGGTGGATGATGATCTTGCCCCCTCGGATCGTAACCGCTCCGCTGCTCCTGACTACTGCTAATACCGCGAGAATGTGCGTGCTGCGACAAACGATAGTATGGAGCCGATAGAGAGAACTATCGAAAAGAAAAAAAATCATAAATATGGTCGAAGGAGAGAAGAAAGGGAAGGGGGGGAAGGATTGACATCCACAGCTGTTACGTGGCCAGTGATACTCCACATTACAGACGAGCTCATCTTCAGGCCCCACTGGTCCTAGAGCTCCCAGTGGTCCACAGTTAGGCGAACTGTTACTCCTCTACTCGAAGTCTACCTCCATTTCCGAAAACAAAATTTTGCAAACGTTAATCTTCATAATTCTTCAGGTATATTCATTCTTCAGTTCAGTCTGGTGTTCCTACTCTTAAGGCTTATTTCAATATTACTTGTAGTGGAATATGATTACAATTCTAAAATGATGATTATATAATGGATCTTACAGTGGTAAATAAGGATATTAAGAAAAAATGTGGTTATGTATATGTATATGAGTACGAGTCGCAGATCAAGCCACGTCTGCTCGAGTATAATAATATTAGTTAATTCGATTTTTTTTTTACATGTAACTATCCTAGGATAAATATTCATACTTTTCTCTTCTCTCTTTCTTCTGGAGCACTATCTCTTTTCTTTTCTTTACAGCTAGCAATATCGAGTATCCATACGGACCTTGGGATCAATCTAAATTATTAACGGGTAAGTATTCACTTTTTTCTTCTTACAGGTTTCTAAAATCTTTCGCATCTAATAACAGCATTTGTTCATGATAATCTTATCTTTTATCTTTTCAGTTAAGTAACGGTTGGTAAGTATTAAATGTTTATCTTTTGTTTTCTTTCGAAGTTACGTTAAATTTCAACAGCAGGAATCTAAATCAAACTGAATCTCACAAGCTGGGGAAAGTATCTTTCACTTTTCTTCAGGCATGGTTGTCCCAGTCTTCGATCCCCATACAAGCGGATGCGCGGACCTAAATAGCCGTAAAAGGGCACGGGGGAATTGAAACCTCGCAGTCATAGGATTCGCGTGGAAGAATATCGAAGCCGGAAGCAGACGAGCATGCTGACACAACCAAAATCGGGCACAACTACTACGAGGGTTAATACACATAAAGGAACGCACACTTTATCATTTATAACTCACTCTCGGAGGCTGTCCATCGGCAAAAGATCGATCTCCCGCGGTGGAATCTGAAATCAAGGTTTTTATGAGCGTATCACGTGGGCGAGAAGGACGCCTGAACCCTCTTGTAGAGCCGCCCCGACTCACGCAGAGCTTCCACACTAACACCAGCTATGCTCGTTTGATTCGAGACCGTTTACACTAGCATATTCTTTAATCACAAGCCATATTCACCACGCAGGGTGCCCTACTTAAACGAGAGGCGTCTACTCTATTGTTTACGACGTTCCCACTAAACGCGGCGCTCGAAACACGCCATCAGCGTGACGCCGCCGACAACTCCAGCGACTGCCGCAGCTCTGGATCACTGCATCCGCGTCTTCTCCTGGCTGCTTCTTCTTCTTCAGACCACTCGGTCCAGCCTCAGTACAGGATTAGCCTCCTTTTTAAACCAACGGGTACAACGAGGAAGATTGTGGTCTACTTTTGCAGTAGAAATGGACTCCGCGCAAGATGGCATGAGGTTCTGAGCGGGCCTCTTCTCGGACGCAGGGAGCTTGGGAAGAGCAGAGGGTTCAGGCGGGGACTGCCGAAGCGAGTTGCTCCTAAGCGACCATCCGGTCACGGATTCACAGGTAATCCCTTTTACTCGTAGAGGCGGCGTCCCAGGCCTTCGCTCCAGGCCGCTGCCTTCTTCCTCAGCGCAGGCACAAAGTGTCTGCAAGCCAACAAAAAAAAACCTCCCTTTAATCCCCTGGCACACATCAACTTTTCTCCTTAACTCACCCAGAAAAATTCACTATTTCGCGACGGAAACTCTCTTCGATCACTTAGAAATCGTATCCACTTGGATTTAACCGCGGATGGCACAATTTCGGGCCTTTTTAGCACGGATTTGAATTTTTCCTCGCGAGCACTATAGAGGCACGTCTGCACAGATTTACGATCGCAGCGAAAAAGGAAGTTCGGTGATCTGTCACCGGTCACGCTGCTTGGAGTTTGACAGTCGAAGCAACCCTGTGTGGGCCCTACCTATTCGAGGATAAACCTTGGCTTCTGTCAGTTCTGGGTCGAAGCAACCCTGTGTGGGCCCTACCTGTCTATGGATCAACCATGGCTTGACTTGTTTGTACCATGCAACTCTGTCACCCAGCAGTTATTTTTTCCAAAATCTTCGGTTTTTTTCTTAACACTTTTGGGTCGCTTCAGCCCGCTACACTCGTTGCCAGCAATCTAGTCTATTGAAATTCAGATTTGTAACGTCTGGCTCGGGAAACTCCATCAGCGGACAACCAATTGGAAAATTTCCTGTTGTAAGGACGCCGATCTTCAGGGTTTTCTAAAATTGCGAGAAGAGGACGAGAATTCAGTACTGTCTGGATTTGGGCGACTAATGTCCGCAGCTCGTCAAAGCCAAAGAGTGACGATCCCACGGAGCGATATAATTGCTGCTTGGCCATCTTCACTGCTGCCTCCCATAAGCAACCGAAGTGGGGCGAGCGAGTAGGTATACATTTCCAATTGAAGCCATTGCTGATGCAGTGATTATGAACTGCATAACGTTGCTTCTCGCTCATAAACAGCCGCCGAAGGTCCTCCAACTCGTACCTTGCGCCCACAAAATTGGTGGCACTGTCCGACCAAATGCATCGAAGCGTTTGAGGGCACTCAAAAATCTAGCAGTTGTGAGGTCCTTCACCTTCGCCTTTGTTTCAAAACAGATGAAGACGCTGATGTAGCATTTTGTAGGCGTTCGAGTGCGCCCATCTGGCTTGTAATAGAAGGGACCGCAGTAATCGATTCCAGTGACGCTGAATGCAGGCGAATCCTGCACTCGATCCTTCGGTAGGTCAGCCATTATGTGCTCCACAAGACGAGGTCTGGACCTGCAGCAGATGATGCATTTCCGCAACGCTCGAGCAACAGTTTTCATGCCGCCGATGGGCCAAAACTGCAAGCGAATCGATCCCAGTAGCGACTGCGGACCAGCATGGTGATGCTTCCGATGAAAGTGCATGATAAGAGCGAAAGTCAATGGATGATCCCTGGGCATCGAAGCCAAGAGTTAAGTGCCGCAAGCGACCACCAACACGAATCAAACCAACGTCATCTATGAAAGGCGAGAGAGATATAATGCTGCTGGAGGACTCCACACAGTTCCCCTTCCAAAGAGCACGGTACTCAGGATACAGGTGGGCGCGTTGAATGATGCGACACAATAAATGCGATCCTTAGCGATGGTCTTCAGACGAGAGATCAGGTGACTTTTTCTTACTGATGAACTTATGAACATATCCAAAAATGCGCATCATGACTCTGAATGAGTTAATTAGCTTAAACGAAAGCGAGATGTCGACACGCTCAGACGACAGCAATTCTCGATGTTTAATTTCCGGAAGACTGAGTTCAGGCGAACAACGTTCAGACCAGCTACTTCTTTCGCCTTGCAAGAAAGAAGGTCCATTCATCCACTAACTAGACTGCAAGAGCCGGGGACATATCGCCGATCCATGCCTGTCGAAAGTTGCTGTATTGCAGAAACCGTTGGACGGTTCCTCTCACAACCAAGACAGTATCACAGTTGAATCCGACCAGCAATGGATTGGGCAGTCGAAGGTATCCATTTTTCTAATTTCGCGAAGTCAATTGGCTAATAGGAACGCTGCACATAGCTCAAGCTTAGGCACCGTGAGAGTTTTCAATGGTGCAACTCTAGCCTTCGAGCAAAGCAAATGTACCTCATCGGCGGTATCCTTAAACGAACGAGCATAGATACAAGCCGCATAGGCCTGGACGCTGGCATCACAAAAGGCATGCATTTCAAACCTTAGACCTTAAGCCTTAGGTTGAAGTATGCAGCGCGGAAATGTAGCGTGACCCACAGTAGCGAAGTCCTTGCAAAACTCAGCCCAAGCCGATTCCAGCGGCTGAGGAAGACTTTCATCCCAATGCAGCTTGTCTCTCCACATGCGCTGCATGATGATTTTCGCTTTTGTCAATGTAGGTCCAATCAATCCCATAGAATCATAGCACCGTGCAATGGTTGACAACACCGAACGCTTAGTGTGCTTGCCAACACCGATTTGAGGTCCAAACGTAAACAAGAACTTGTCGTTATGGGGTTCCCAGATGAGTCCAAGCGTTGCCATCATCGAACTTCAGAAAACTTTCCCTTTCCGCCTCAGGCACTTCACGAAGAACATCAGGAGACTTGGAACACCATTTCCTCAACTGAAAATTGCCACAAGCAAGAATATCCGTGGCTTGACGCATAATATCCAGCACTTCCTCGACTTAATTGCCTCCAGAAATCATATCGTCCACATAGAAGTCCTGTAGAATGGTTTCCGAACCCAATGGATACGAAGACGACTCATCCATGGCCAGCTAATGCATAGCTCGAATAGCTAAAAAACGAAGCAGGCTTTGTCCCATAGGTTCCAGTGTTTAGCTTGAAGATCTGTATGTTGTTGTCAAGAGAGTCGCACCTATACATTTTACCGGTATCACCTGTAAGAGCAATGGAAAATGTATGAAATCGAATGAGAGTTTAAAACAGCTTGGCTTGAATGATGGGACCTGACATAAGCAGATCATTCAACGAGAGACCAGATGTGGTAGCTGCAGAGCCGTCCATTACGACTGCTTTGTCGTCCTCTTTAATGACGCAATTATGTGGCAAGAAATATCTACACTTGCTCCTATCTTCTTTTGGCACCAGAGACATATGATCAAGGGACAGGTACTTCTTCATAAACGCCGAATATTTCGAATACAGAGCTTGATTACGCACAGAAGGAATCGGCCAAGGACCATGGGCAAGCGATCGGAATATTCCCCTGAGTGTAATCTAGTGTGATGGTTGACAAAGTGTTCCTCGCAGTGCAGCTTCTGCTTTGTTTACCTAGTGATTGGCTCAAAGATGCTCCACTTCCAAAAATTCACTAACCAACTCATCGAGCCGAGCGCCCGCTACCAGAAAGAATCCATCCTAGATGTGTCTTCTGCAGCAACGGCAGTCCAGGCGACAGCTGAATTTGCCCCACACACAGCAACTCGAAGAAAAGTCCGGCTCCGATGAGCAGGTCAATCCGCTGCGGCTTATAAAACGAAAGGTCAGAAAGCTGGATATTAGAAGGTACAGGCCAATTGGCAGTGCTAACTGTGATGCTAGGTTGATGGTCTGTGATCTTCTGGGCAACGACGGCAGTGATTCCAGAACGAGATCCACCGAGATACCTTCTGTTGGGAAGCTAGCATCTCCTATGCCAGAAACAGCGGTAAGCGATTTGGTTTTTCGAAGTTTAAGCTGATTACCTAGACGACTAGTTATGAAATGCAATTGCGATCCCGAGTCCAAAAGTGCGCTACATGCCACGAAAGTTACAACGCTGTTTTTTACGAGAACGACGGCGGTGGCTAAAAGCGCAGCATCAGATGGACTGTGGGACATAAGTACTTGAGGAAAGGAGGGCGTCAATGCAACCATTGCGTTACGACTTGGTTGTGCTTGTGAGGCTTCAATTGGAGGCACAATTGAAGGACTGCCTCTGTTGGACGAATGAAATGCAAAAGAGTGTGGTGCTTCGATCGGCAAGTTCGGTAGGGACCTGATCTACAATCTCTCAATTGATGGCCCTTTTTTAGGCAATTAAGGCATAGCAATAGCCTTTTGGCTTACAGGCGACGATCATTTGGCGATAAAATTGTAAGCCGTTGAAAATTGGCAATAATGTTATGAGTGCTCTCGCACAATGCTCAGGAAACTGGAGCACTCGATGCTACAAACGACTTTCTATGATGCGTACTCACGGTTTTTCCTGACTTGCCAACCTGATCATCTTGTACTAACATGGATTGATCCGCATTTTCAAGCTTTCGACATCTTTTTTCCAAAAATCCAGATAATTTCTCCCAAGATGGCAGCTCTTGGTTCGACGAAGACTCCTCCCATCTATTTTGAGAGGCTTTGTCCAGCTTCTGAAGAACAGTCGGCACGAGAATACAATCCGCCACTTCTTCCTTGCTTGCAGGGCTGTGCCACTCAAGCAGGAACGTAGATGCTGCAGCTTTTTGATAGGGCTCAGCTCGGACTCCTTGTCAATAACCGCGGTGAACATTGAGAAGAAATTGGCCTACTCCGTATAAATTCCACTGAATTTGGGCAGCTCCAGATGATTTCAGCTCCGTCAATGATTCCAACAGCCCTCGCAAGTGGTATTTATCCATTTGGCGCAACTTTTCACTATCTATTTATGTTCGTATGGACTCTAGCCGATCGAAAATAGCTCTAGCCTTCAGTCTCATGAAGGAAATACGAGATACAGGAACAGGGACTTGGGTGCTGGTTGCAGTCACACTAAAACTTTTACCATATGGAGCAGCGCCAAATGTCACAGAATTACTTTCATTGCCCATAGAAAATGATCCAGTATTTCTACTATTCTTTCTCCGGCTATAGAAAACGGTTGACGTGGAGGGTGCAAGTCGATCACAAGCTGATTATGCAACGCGCGAGTTCAGACAAGTTCAAACGCTTTTGCGTTCACTTTTTTGGCACTTATTATATGCGAAATGTATGCACCAGTAAAACGAACGAAGTGATGACCGTAAAACCAACAATTATGCAAGAGAACGTTCGAGATGTACTCTGATTTCGAGTCCGAATTCCAGAGAGATATTAATGCAGCCGCTCACAAGAGCTGACTGAACGGACCACGCTGGACCACAGTGTAAGAGAAAGCGAAAACGAATAGCGGGCCGCTAGAACTGCTACGGTCGCTACTTTTTTCACAAATGTCACGTGAAACCTTTAAAAACTTTTTCGGCAACTCTGACTCCACATTTACAAGTAATCTAATCCGTTTGTAAATTCTAAAAAAGTTTTATTTCTCGATGGGTTACAAGCATAGCTCCATACACAAAAACACCACGGACAATCGCTCCCGCTCTGAGCAGAACACTTTTGGTTTCTTCGCTTGTGCTATCTGTTTCGCGTCTTCGGGTTGAGCCGAGACACACTCGTGTCTCACAATAACAACTTAAAGAGGCACATTTGATCAAGCGCTCTCAGAAAAAGTGTCTGTAGATGAGCAGAACAAAAAAAGTGTCTGTGAAAAGTGTTTTGGTTTTGTTCGTGTTTATGCCCCAATAATATCTGGGAAATCAATAATGCATATCATTGTGTAGGTACATATGAATATAGGTAAATTTTGTATTAAACAGAGTTAAGCTTAACCACTAACAAGGAATTCAGATTTTCCGCAGTTAGAGAGCAAAAGACTTTTTCGTTCGCACGTGGTGTCGTTGCTCAATGAAAAACAGAATTGCAAAATCGGGTCTTTGCTTGAGCGAAAAGCGAAATGAGCAAAGAAAGATCTGATCGTGTCTTTTCTGGCTCCATTCGCAATGTGTCCGTAAATGAGACGATTTTTTCAGATACCCTGAAAGTGTTGACCGTTTTTTGCGAGCTATGATTACAAGGGTTTGAGGCCGTGGCCGTGAACTACGATTCGAAGCGTTCGACAAATGATTTTCAGTATAAGAGATGATGTGTGACTATGTGATATCAATTTCTTAGCATCTATTAACGGCTGCTGCTCACAAACAGTTCCATTTTTTATTATAACTGAATTAAGACGAGATTGCATTGAATCGTCTAGCGATTTATGGACGGATGGATATATATTCTCCCATTATCTCTCTATTGTTATTTTAGGTTACGTAGTTGTCACAAACTGTGTACCGTTCTTAAAAATATTAGCAGAGAGGATACTACAGAGGTTCTCAATGGGATTCAGGCTCGGAATCAATGCTGCGTTCAACTTTCACCTTATGTTTATTTTCACACCTAATCGA